GCTGGTAGAGTGGCTCAAGTGGTAGAGCGCCTGCCTAGCAAGGGTGAGAGGTCCTAAGTTCAAACCCCAGTACTGCAAAAAGAAGCAGAAAACACTCTATTTTTAGAAGCCTCAGAAGCATTTATATTAAACATTCCAAGCATAAATTCTATAACAAATCAATTATTTACAACAAAGTAATTATTCATTATATTTGGCTTTAGAAATTTAACTCAACAGAGCTTCCCCCACCCCTTCTTCTGCAGAGGAAGTTAAGACATTTAAGAAAGTTAGAGGTCAGCAAGGCTCTGGGTCCACTCCCCAGCACCACAAAAGAAAACCAAGAGCTCTTCAATTATCAAAGCATTTCTTATGTACCTGATACTATGCTATACTTTTTTTTGGGAGGCAAGAGTCTCCCTATGTAACCCAGACTGACCCTGAACTCCCGTTCCTCCTGCCTCTGTCTCTTAAGTGCTGGTATTACAGGAGTGCACCGCCACGCTTAGCTTGTACTACACACTTTAGACACAGCTCATGAATATTCCTAACAGCTCTCATGGTACATTTGGGAAAAACACAGCTTGGAGAAGCAAAGTCGATTGGGCCAGAGATTTACACAGCCAATCCCAAATTCTGGCCTGCTGACTTGAAAGGCCGAGGCACTGCCTGACTTGACTTATGACGACCGTCTGGTAAAACCAAGTCTCTCTGGTAATGCTTCTCTTTGGAAAATTGTTTAATACCCAGCAATGCCACAGTGGAGGTGAAAAGGAAGAGGTGACAGCAAACTCAGACTTGACATGTGACAGGTAGGCAGGATGTGAGCTTTTACCTGTGGGGTCTCACTGTTTTCCCACCCCTCCTTCTAACAGGCTGAGCCACTAGAGCCTTGGACAAGGCTAGGGGATGAAGCAGTGGCTTCATGGGATGACTGTCACAGGACTGGCAGGGTATTACTAAATTAACCAACAAGTGAAACACAGTTGCGACAAGTGCTAGCCATTCATTCATTCAACAAGCATTTAATAAATGTCTCCTTGCCTCAGGGATGGGAAAAGCCTTCCACTCAAGTTGACCAAACAATAAACAAAAAAATTATTTAAAAAACTCAAAAACAAGTTAAAAAAACCACACAAACAAACAAACAAAAAAACAACTGGGGTCAGGGATATAGCTCAGTGGAAAGGTGCCTGCTCAGCAAATGCAAGGCCCTGGGTTCAACTGCCAACGCTGCTGAAAACAAACAAAAGACCTAAAAGAGCCCCCAGCATCAGTGGAAGTAGCAATAGTTTTTACACTGCCTTCCTTCCTGTTCTAAGTCTTAAAATATGCAGCAGTCAGAAAGCAGAATGGTGGCTGTGTGTGTGTGTTACTGCTTGCTAGGTACAGAGTTTTAAGTCTGGAAGATGAAGTGGTGATGCCACCAAATGTTGGGTGTGTTTTACCAGTTAAAAAATGTAGAGAAAACTTAAACTCAGAATTTTAGACAAGTCAGGCACTGATGGCTCACACCTATAATCCTAGCTACTCAGGAGGCTGAGATCAGGAGGACTGCAGTTCGAAGCCAGTCAGGGCAAATAGTTTGCAAGACCCTATCTTGAAAAATCCTTCACAAAATAGGGCTGGTGGCATGGCTCAAGGTGAAGGCCCTGAGTTCAAGCCCCAGCACCACCAAAAAAAAAAAAAAAAAAAAGAAATTTAGGCAGAGTTTGAAGCTCAAGCCCCACAAGCCTCGAAAGTTAGACAGCTCCCTCTTGTTGTTTCAGTGGCACTGGGGTTCGAACTCAGGGCCTCAAGCTTGCTAGGAAGGCAATCTACCACCTGAGTCTCTCACAGGGTCTCACCATATAGCCCAGGCTGGCCTGGAACTCACCATCCTCCTGCCTCAGGCTTCCCAATGCTGGGATTTCAGGGGTGCGCCACCCACTGCGCTGTTTGTTTTGGGTTTTTTTGAGACAGGGTCTACCTCTGTTGCCCAGGCTGATCTCCAGCTCCTAGGCTCCAAGTGATTCTCCCTGAGAAGCTGGGACTACAGCCATGCCCCACCACACCAGGCTTCAAGACCACTTAAACTTGTAGTGTTAGCACTTTTTTTTTCAGTCTATTTCACAATCTCAATACCTGCTATCACCAGGTTCAGTCACCCCAGACTGATGGTTTTCAGTGAGGTCCTCAAGATGCTCTGTTGCCATTAGAAATCTAAAAGGGCAGTGCTCTGCACTAAGCCACCAACGGCTAATGAAAAACTGGAACCCCAGAAAGATAAATCAAGCCCACTAAGACCTAGCTGTCAGTTTTGTTTTCCCTCTTTGGTAGAACTGGGGTTTGAACTCAGGGCCTCATGCTTGCTAAGCAGGTGCTCTAATGCTCTTTCCATTGTGCTCTGGGTATTTTGGAGATGGGGGTCTCTCCAACTATTTGTCTGGGCTGGCCTTAAACCTTGATCCTCCCAATCTCAACCCCCAAGTAGCTGGGATTACAGGTGTGAGGAACCAGTGCCGGCTTTGATCGGCTTGATCAGCTCTTGATTTGGAATCGTGTTTTCATCTGCTTGCTGAACAATGCAGTTCCTGGTTCCCTACGATGGCTGGGGACAGGTCGGGGAAAGGAGCAAGTAGTCCAATATATACTTCCTGACCACTGCACAGGCTGTCAAACACAGCTACAGGACCAGCTTCTGGGGGTGTGACTTCAGCACTGGGCAGAAGTTCCTGACAACAGAGTGAGCCTGCTGCAAGCAAGACTTGTTGACAAAAATAAAATTCCAGCTTTTAAGCGAAAACAATTTTAGAAAACTCATATCCATTGATAGCCTCACTATTCAAGGATGTTTCTGAGGAAATGGTGATGATGGCTTAGGCTGTAAGTACTCGTTTTAAGCCTACTGGAAGATGTTTTAGCAGGGGAAGGGAATCCATGAAAGCACTGATTAGTGCAGTGGCAGGCACCATGGTGCTCAAGCATCATACAGCGCTGGGACACTGCTCATTGAGAACTCAAATGATCACCGAGGAGTCAACTAGCCTATCCTAGCACCCCTACTGCTACACCTCAGAGGCTCCAGCAACTAGATGCCTCGCCTGTGCCCTGTGAAGCTCCACTCTGCAGAAACAACTCACCAGCATGTCCTAAAACTTTTAGGACACCGAGCAACATTTGCTAGTACTTTCAGCACAGAGCCAACTGGAAAATTCCAAGGTCAGAGGCAGGAGGTGCACAACAGCAAAGGCCTTCCTATCAGGTAGCCGGAGAGATGTGTGTAGGAAAATTTTACTTTTGGTCACTTCTTTTTAATTTTTGATCGTTCATTCAAGGCTCTCCCAACTGTCAAATTTTCACATGCTTTAAAACTCTCTACCTTAAACATTTCACCATCACCAGAAAAGCTGGCAAATACATTCAAAGGGAGCTGTCCCCCACCCCTTAAACAGGAACTTGCTTTGTAGCCCAGGCTGACCCAAACTCTCCATCCTCCTACCTCAGCCTCCTGAGTGCTGGGATTACAGAGGTGCACCACTGCACCTGGCCAAAAGTAGTATATTTTAAAGAAGGGGGCTGAAGGTGTGGCTCAAGTGGTAGAACGCCTGCCTAGCAACCCCAGTCCCTGGGTTCAAACCCCAGTAATGCCAAAGTAAATAAACACAACTGTAGACTCAGTGTGGTATGACCACTTATTGTAATCCAATCAAGTAAAATGCCTGAGGTCTACCTCTAATGAAACCACTCTGTTTAGGAAGACTTCCTGGGGGCTGCTAAATGGTTTTTGAAACTAGTAAAACGAGGGGCGGGGAAGCCCTAGTTATTAAATTTCAAGAAGGCAGAAGTACAAATTTGAGGTCTAGAAACCTACCCCACGGGCTCCCAACATCTTATTTCTTTTTTTTTTACTAGCAAATAAAATATTCTTTTAAAGCCAGGTGGCTCCACCTACCCCAGCCTCCAGGTCAGCACGCCCTGAATGTCGCCGGGTACATGCGCCTTCACCCCACAAGTCTTTTGTCTGAGTTTTTGAGATATTAAAAGTTCTCCACCCAACAAAAATACTTTTTTCGGACTGCAACCGGGGAGGGTAGACGCCTGAGCAGGGACTATTATGGTGTGATCTGGGAAAGGAACCTTTTCTCTAAAAAAAACCCAAAAAAAAAAAAAAAAAAAAAAAAAACGCGACACAAAGGCCAAGTGTGTCCTTGACAAACAGCAAGATGCTTATAACCCATCTTCTAAATCCTGTATGCAGGAATTTTATATTAAAAAAATCCAATGTAGGATTCTGGAATCAAATACTATGAGCTTTCTACTCAAGTCAAAAAAATTTTTTTTTTCTTTCAAAGCGGAGACTTCGATTATACCTAATCTGCACTGGACCAGAATCAGAGCGAGGCTACCTATGATCCTTTGCTCCAGGTCATAAGAATATTACGGGGAAATAAAAAAAATTCCGCCTGCAAGCACAGAGCACCTGTCAATGAGCCACTGTGACCTAAGAGAGATCAACACACAAAAGCCCGCTACGATGGCTCCTGGGGGTTTTGTCAGGTTCCCCACTCCTCCCCCCACCCCCCAAAAAAACCCCTGGGCTCGAAAGGGAAGGAAGGGACTCGTGGCCTCAGACCCCAGTGGGCCTGCTGACCTCATGGCGACGGGGAGATGGACAGGGCCGGGGAGGGGACAGGCTGAGCCCGCACCCTGCGCTGCAGCCAAGCCCCGCGCCCGCCCCGCCAGAGGGGGATGGGATGGCGCCGGTCCCCGGGCAGCCGCGGGGCCTTCCGACGCTGCCGTCGGCGGGACGCAGATCCGCCCCAAGGAGCAAAGCCCGGGGAACCTAACCGCCGCCGCCCGCTTCCTACCGGAGCGCGCCATTTCCAGACCCCGGCCCCCCAGGCCTCCGCCTGGCCTCTGCCTTCCCTCCGCCGCCACCGCACCGGGATGAGCGCAGCAAGGCCGCCGCCTCAGGACCCCCCTTCCCTTCTTTTCCCCTTGATTCCGCCCAGCCGGGACCCACGCACTCATAGTCTCACCCTCTGCCGCCGCCGAAGCTGCTGTAGGCCCGATCGTCGTAGGTATCGAAGTCCGCCATTTGCCGTCTCCGCTCCGAGAGGAACCAGGGTGAGCGAGGAAGGACCCCGCAATATAACTCCCTCCCACCCCCGCCCCGCCCCACCCAGCCGCTGGGGCTGTCCGCCGCGCTGCCTGATCGCAAATCGCACGCGCGCACGCACGCACGTACGCCGTGCCGCGCCCGGCCTGGGCCGACGGGGCCCACTGATGGCCCCGGCGCGCTTTGCGGCCCACGTGGTGTGGTGGCGGCGGCGGCGGCGGCGGCGGCGGCCGCGCTAGGGGTCGTGCGCATGGCCTGCCGCCCCGGCCCATTGTGTGCTGGCTGGTTGGATAGCCGCATGCGTGGTCGCTACTGTCGGTCCCTGCCCCGCCCCGTCCTGCTTGTGCGTGCAGAGGTCCCGGGAGTGTGTGTGTGTGTGTTGGGGGGGACCCCCAAATCGTCACTCTGCACCTGCCCGAGGTCGCTTAGCCTCTGTGCCCCAGTCCTGATGGGGACCCCCCCCCGGGGATCTGCTCCAGTTGACCCTACTCGTGCACTTCTTCCGGCCAAATGGTAGCTGGGTGACACCAAAGTAAAAGCCACCTCCTCCAGGCGGGGACCCCCACGGAGCTGGGCACAGGCAATGAATCACAAGGGGCCAAATGCCTGGAGGGGGTGCGAGGTGGTGGGTCGGATGCAGATGCAAATCCTGCGGTCAAGGGCAGCAATATTGAGAGAGTGAAGGTTGTCATTGAACTGGCAAGAGAGTGGGTGCAATTAGATTTTGCAGAAGTCACTGGGCTATGAAAAAACCCTGATCCGCATGGCATCTTCTTGCAGTAGCAAAAAAAAAAACCCCAAAAAACAGGTCCTGATGGACCACACCCCTAAAACCCTAGCTCTGTAGGAGGCTGAGATCAGGAGGATTGCAATTTGAGGCCAGCCTGGGCAAATAGTTTGTAAGAGCCCCATCTCCAAAATAACCAGAGCAAAATGGACTGGAGATGTGGCTCAAGTGGTAGAGTGTATGCTTTGCAGGTGTGAAGCCTTGAGTTCAAACTCCAGCCTCCCCCCACACCCAAAAAAAGAATGGTATGCGGTGAGAATTGGTGTTACTTCCTAGGTTTGTGATTGAGATTGTTGTAAATATTGACTACACCTACCCTTGGGGATGCCACTGTTGACAAACCGTAATGTGACATAAGCACAATGTAAAAGAACTTTGGCCAGGCACCTGTGGCTCACGTCTGTAACCCAAGGTACTCAGGAGGCAGAGATCAGGAGGATTGGGGTTTGAAGCCAGCCAGGGATAAATAGTTGGTGAGATCCTATCTCGGAAAAAAAAAATCATAAAAAGGCTGGCAGAGTGGCTCAAGTCCTGAATTCAAACTCTGTCCCCTCAAAAACCTTGTAAAATTTTCTTGCCATCTATACACTGCAGCATGTTGCCAGTATTTATTATTTGTGTGTACCTGTGATAGTGGGATCAACCCGTGGCCTCTTGCATGCTAGGAAAGCACAAACATGCCTCCAGCTCTAGTTTGAGATAGGGTGGTCTAGGCCTTAGCCCTGACTGGCCTAGATCTCCCCATCCTCCTGCATCGGACTCCCAAGTAGCTGGGATTACAGATATCCAGCACCACACCCAGCTTTCAGGTCTTTTAACTTAAGCAGCTTTTTGTTTTGTACCAGTTTCTTACCAAGTCATAAAACATTTTACTGTCAGATACACCAGAATTAAACTTGGGCTTGTTTTTTTTTTCCCTTTTTTTGCCAGTTCTGGGGTTTGAAGTCGGAGCCTAGTGCTTGGTGCTCTACCCCTCTACCCCTTGAACCACACCCCAAACCATTTTTTTTTCTTGTTTTTTTCGGTAGTCCTAGGGTTTGAACTCAGGGCCTCACACTTGCTAGGCAGGTACTCTACCACTTGAGCCACTCCGCCAGTCCATTTTTTGTGTGTGTGTTGGGTATTTTTGAGATAGGGTCTCACTTGCATTTTGCCTGGGCTAGCCTTGAACTGTGATCCTCCTGTTCTTTGACTCTGTAGCTAGGACTACAGGTATGAGCCACTGTACCCAGCCTTGCTTTGGTTATTTTTGAGCTAGGGTCCTGTTTTATGCCTTGGCAGGGTCCTGGACAGTGATCCTCCTATTTGTGATTCCTTGCATTGCTGGGGATGATGGCACATGTCACTGTGCCCAGTGGTTGGTTGGGATGGACAGTAGTGATCTTTCTTCATTCCCTACCTCAGCCACCCCACCCACCTCCTCCTTGAACTGAGATCTTCCTGATTTCAGCCTCCAGAGTAGCTGGAATTACAGGCATGAGCCATTTGACTGGGCTCAAGTCTGTTTGGTGTTTGAACTCAGGGCCTTGCTCTTGGGTGTCCACTGCTTGAACCACACTCCCAGTTCCCTAAATCTTGTTTACAGCTATGGAACCACCCAGAGGAGTGACTTGCCCAAGGCCATGTAGCTTAGACCTTAGCACAAGGCTCAGAAAAGGAACAAACGATGTCTTCTCTCCTTGCAAGGTTTCTTCTTCATTTGCTTGTTTTGGTAGAGCGGGTTTGAACTCAGGGCTCCTATCTTGCTAAGCAGGAGGGTTATCACTTGAACCACAGCCCTATCCCTGTTCTTTCTGCAGTGCTGGGGATGGAGCCCAGCACCTCCCACATGCTGGGCAAGTGCTCTACCACTGAGCTATATCCTGACTCTGTAATATTTATTCTTGAATGGCCATATGTTGTTTCTTTCTTTCTTTTTTTCTGGTGGCACTGGGCTTTGAACTCAGAACATCACACTTATTAGGCAGGCACTCTACCACTTGAGCCACTCCACCAGTCCTTTTTTTGATGGATTATCTTGAGATGGGGCTCCTGAACTATTTGCCTGGGCTGGCTTCAAACCCTGTCCTCCTGATCTCTCTCTGCCTTCTGAGTAGCTGGGATTACAGACATGAGCCACTGGTGCCCAAAATGCAGTTTTATGGATGCAAAGCCCACAAAAGTGCGTCCTCCAGAGGCCAGTGTATGAAGCTCAAGAAGGATTGTTACCCTGGGGGTCCCTCAAGCTTTTATTGGGGTCTGAGGACATGGGGGCAGGAGTTCTGGAAAACTGGGTTCTGCATCTTCAACTCCTCCCACACGTGGGGTACAGGGAGCTCCTGGCCTTGGATGGTCACATGAGGGCTGTCAGTGCTGGCCGTGGGGCTGCTGGTGCCAGGCAGCAAGACCCTTGTTATGTGGTGAGCCATTCTGGTAATGATGCAATCCAGGATTGCCATTGTTTTCAGCCATCAGGTGTCCTAACTCCCTGCCTGCTCCTGTATCATTAGCTGTTGTCTGCAGGGGGCTGCCCTTCCTTGTTTCTGGTATCTGAGAGTTTTTCTTTTTTTTGGGGGGGGGCGGGAACTGTTGAGTATTTGAAATAACTTTTTTTTTTTTTAAATTGGGTCTCATGTTGCTCAGGCTAGCCTCGAACTTTCATTCCTCCTGCCTTAGCCTCCTGAGTGCTGGGATTACAGGCGTGAGCCACCATGCCCTGCTTTAAATAAATTTGTATTGTACTTCAACGACTACATGTATAGCATCCTACCACTGAACTACACCTCCAGCCTCCCATCTTGAGATTTTTGTGATGAGGAGACCGGCAGGTTGTTTTGTATGCAAATCAGAGGTACTGAGTGAGTTACAGAGTGCTTGCAATGTAGGTAATGTGCAGCTGTGGAACTGCTTGTTAAATTTTATTTAAATTTCCCTGGGCACAGGTGGCGCACACCTGTAATCTTATCTACTCAGGAGGCAGAAATGAGGAGGATCGTGGTTTGGGTCAGTTTGGACAAATAGTTCCAGAGACCCTATCTTGAAAATACCCAACACAAAACAGGGCTGGCAAAATGGTCAAGTGGTACAGTGCCTGCCTAGCAAGTGTGAGGCCCCAAGTTCAAACTCCAGTTCCACTTAAAAAAAAATCTGGAGTCTATCAAAGCGCTCCTACTCTTTGTTAATGAATGAGTGACACATGAGTGAGGGCCCCCCAGGGCAGGCCATCCAAGATGGGTGATCCACTCATCTGGCAGCTATGGGCCCAAAGGAATCTAGGCTAACCGGTAACCTTCCACCTGACCTCCCTCAGACCCTGTGTCCTCCAGCAAGGAGGCCAGACAGGGTGGGCTGGAATTCAGGTTGTCCCACCCTGATCTGAGTCTGCCAGCCCTCCAGGGCAGGGTGAGCTCCTCCTTCTTCTCTAAAGCAATGCAGAAGCCACCAGTTACACATGGCTACTGAAATTTCCATAAACATCATTGCTTTCAGCATTGGGATCTGAACTCAGGACCAAAGCCCCACCCGTTTTACTCCGTTAGCAAGTGATATTTAAGTCTTTATTTGTATTAATTTTCTGCGTTCTCACTATGGAGACCAATCCTCCTGCCTCAGCCTCCTGAGTGCTGGGATTACAGGCATGCATCACTACACCCAGCTGAGTTTCCCTTTTAGGAAAAGACCTGTCTGTGTACAGAGGTTGCCCTGTGGGTGAATGGTGCTCATGACTCAGTCCCAAGCCCCTTCCCTGTTCTGTTCTGGGCAGCTGTTATTGGATGGCTGAAAACTACATTTCCCAGACTCCCTTGCATACCAGCTTCCTGCTAAGTTCACACCCACTAACAGAGGCCAAGAGGAGCACTGGAGGTGAAGGGAGGGCATAGGCTTTCTTCACCTGCCACACGTGCACCCGTATCCTTGAGTCCCTAGTCACGTGCTCTGCATCCTGCCCTCCCCACCACACCCCCACACTCCCAGCTCTGGTCCTGGTGTTCATGGCCAGGGGCTGTCACCTCCACAGTGAATCAGAGCTGGCTGTGACTAGTAGCCTGGGATGGAAGTGACACCATGTGACCCCCAAGGCTCCTGTGGACGCTTGCTCTCTAGAGGCTGCAGTGAGACTCCCAAGGGACCCTCAGGGAGGTTAGGAGAGGAACTGAGGCCCTTTGCCTGGCACCAACCTGCCAGCCCCTCAGACAAGGATCCTTGGAAGGGACCCTCCAACTCCTGGCAGTGCCTGAGTGCAACCTCAGGAGACACCCTAAATCTAAACCACGCAACACAGCTGCTCCCATTTTGGGGAGAGGGTGCTGGGGACGGAACCCAGGACTTGACAAACAAGCACTCTGCTGAGCTACAACCCCATCCCCGCTTCCAAATCCTTGACAAGCGGAAACTGTGAGCAACAGTGACCACTGTTACCTTGAGCCATCAAAGCTGGAGAGATTTGTGACACTGCAGTAGGATAACTCAAGTGGCCACTGTACTTGATTCTCTTAGAGCCCACTTCCTTCCTTCCCTTCCTCCCTCCCTTCCTTCTTTTGGCAACCCTGGGGTCTGAGCTCAGGGCCTCAGACTTGCTAGGCAGGTGCTCTCCCACTTAAGCCATCCCTCCAGCCCATTTTTGTGATGGTTTTCTTCCAGACAGAGTCTCTCAGGAACTGTTTGCCCGGGGTTGGCTTCAGCTGTGATCCTCCTCCCGAGGATAACAGCCTCCTGAGTAGCTGGGATTACAGGCGTAATCCCACCGGTGCCCACCTGCAACCTATTTTTTTTGAGGCGGGAGCTCACTATGCAACTCAGGGTGGTCTCAAATTCAAAATCCTCCTGCCTCAGCGTCCTGAGTGCTGGGATAACAGGTGTGAACCATCATACCTGGATCCAACCTAGCTTCTGAAAATTCCTTCTGTCCTGACTGGACTCCATTCTGTATCTAACTGGGCTCTGGTCAGGTCCTCTCCTGTCCCATGCCTCCTTTCCAACTTGTCCCCTCCTTAGGCTTCTAATCCCCTCTGGACTTGGCTCAGGGCCTTAAACACGTATGGAGATGCAGGCCCTGTGGGGAGCACAGAATTGACTTTATTGTTCTGAGTCTGGGTTTTCTTTGTCAGACAGCTCGGTTCCTGGGCAGGGGCGAGCGTGTCCCATCTCAGCCACAGTCCCACGGGACCTGTCCAGGTTGTTTTCCAGGTTCAAAGTGCACTGAGCTAGCTTCACAGTTTTAATACTTCCAGATGCTCAAATGAGGCAAAGTGACAAAATGGCCCTCCCACCCCGCCCGCCAGAAAAATAAAACCCGAAGCTTCCAGCAGCTGCTGCTACAGCTGTGTGAAAAAATAATACAAACTCTTCTTAAAAAATAGATTACACAGAAAGAACCCAGAGGACAGAGGGGTATGAGAAGAGGGGCGGGGTTGCTCCAGTCGCTGGGAGAGGCCAGGGAGGGGACAGAGGTGAACTTCACGAACAGGGCTGTGCTGTGCTGGACACCTGCCTCACCCATGCTGCACAGCCTCCTCCACTGGCCCGGGGCTCCCTCTTCCTCCTGGGACCTCTCTCCACCCTGAGGCCTGGTACCTGCTTCCCATTAAAGTGGCTTTGACAAAGGAACAAAGGAGATCCAAGGCAAGAGGGAAGACCACTGCCTGGCCAGCACCTCCAGGCTCAGCCTCTCTGCTCTGAGGTTTGGATCTTTACTGGCTGTCACCTAGACAGTCCCCGGGGCCAGGGTCTCTCCTGTACACAGGGCCTGGGTGCCCAGCCACCACAGGGCACACCTGGGAGGCTGCCTCCCAGCCCAGCCCTCCTCCAGGGAGCTGAGGGCGGGTATAGCGTGCAGACGGCTGGGACGGCACGTGCAGGGGCACAGCTCACCCTGCATCCAGCTCATGCGTGGAGGAGTGAGGGTGACCCCACTGAGACAGAGGTAAGGCAGGGCGACGTGACGGTGAGTGCAGCCTGGCAGCTCCGGGGCCAGAGGCAGAGGGAGGACAGGGTGTGTTCCGCGGGGGCAGAAGGCAAGGCAGGGCCTGGCTCTAGGGAGGGGTCCAGGCACTGCTGCCCTGGCTGAGAGCTCCATGTCTGGCCACCAACTGGAGATGGATCTGGTGAGGGTGGATTCTCCAGAGGTGGGGACAGGGGCAGCTGGGTGGGCCAGGTCAGTCAGGGACCTCGGGGTGGGCAGGCAGTCCACTCTCGCCACGCCTGTAGGTCTCCCAGAAGCCCCTGTCCAGTTGCTCCAGCTGCGGGCCCAGGGGGAGGTGACCGGCCAAGTGCATGTGCAGGCCCTCCAACCACTGCTCCAGCTTCACAAAGGATGGCCTAGGGGATAGACGGTGGCTGTGGGTCTGGCTCTCTGGGGATCGGCCCCACCCACTGGCTGCCCCACACAGTGGCCACCCCCCACCTCACCTCTTCTCAGGGTCCAAATCGCAACAGCGCACAGTGATGGGGAAGAAGCTTGGGGGGCAGTTTGGAGGGCAGTAGCGGTCCAGGAAGCCTCGCACATTGAGGCCAAAGTCCATGGTACGGGGCAGGTAGTCGGGGTCTGCATTTACCCGTCCGATGATCTGTCCAGCACGAGGCCCAACAGTTAACCTGGGGTCCCCTGGCCTGGGGCCACCCAAGTGCTCTGAGGGCAAGTCACATGGGGTCTGGCTGGGGCTAGGCTGTCCCCTTGCTCTGGGTAGCCCCTGGCCCGAGTCTCCTGTGAACTCCCAGCCACTGTCTGGGAGGACCAGGAGTGAAGCCGCCAGGCCCTAATGCTAAATGCTGCCACCCTTAGGCCTACCTCACACAGGACAATTCCAAAGGAAAACACATCCACCTTCTCATCATAGCTGCGGCCTGGAAGGAGAGACGGGGTCAGTGGGGACCAGAAGGCAGTTGCTGGGCTCTGCCCCCAGTTCCACCAGGTCCCAGCAACCCTTGGGAAGCTCTGAGGGATGAGGATGAGTGTTCTGGGCAAGAGTGAGGCCCTGAGTTCAAAGCCCAGTGTGGCCCGAAAAACCCAAACCCCTTTGCAACTTAGATGTATTTAGAGAGACAGGACTCAAAGAACAGGAGGTGACTACATGAAGAACAGGCAGAGGCTGGGGAGAGGCACCAGAAGCTCAGAAACACCAGGCTGAAAGAGGGGAGGGTGGATCTCGTTCCCCAAGTCCCATGCACGGACCAGGTGGACCCAGACTTCTGGCATCCCCAAGTGTGAGTCTAAGCTGCTACTGTTTGAGCGACTGTTTGCAGTAATTTGTTACAGTAGCTTCAGGCAATGAATTCAGGCTGAGCCTCAGTGTGCTTATCTGTCAAATGGGAATAATACCATCCACCTGGTAATGTTGAAAACAGGACAGCCACTGTCACTGGCTGAATGCTAACTGGTTAGCAGGGACCCTCAAAACAGGGACTGCTGACACTGTTTTATGGGGCCAGTTGCCTGAGGACCAAGCAAACTACATGTCAGCCAGTGCTGGTGCTGGTGCTGGCTGGCCCAGGTCTGCCTGCTCTGAACCTGTGTTTGTGTCACCTGCTTGAGGAGGGAATGACACCTTGTAATCTATAGTCTGGGCTTATGCAGATCTACTGACCACCGACCACGGATAAGTGGGGAAAGCTCCTGTGGAAGACTGAATTATGGCCCCTGAAGGTGTCCCTATCTTACTCCCTGAGCCCTGTGACCACCTTACACAGGACTTTGCAGGTGGGATGATTAGGGTCTTTTTTTTTTTTTTTTTGATGCTGGGATGGAACCCAGAGCTAGGCAAGTGCTCTGCCACAAAGCTACACCGTTAGCCCCTGGATTTTGGCTGTTGAGTAGAGAATTTAGTCTAGATTATCCAGGTGGGCTCAGTGCAACCACAGGAAGGCAGGAAGCACAGAGTCAGGGAGAGATGTGACAAGAACATGCTGTGCTGTTTGGCCTGAAGGTAGAGGCAGGGGTTGAGTGTGGTGATGCATGCCTGTAATCCCAGCACTCAGGAGGCTGAGGCAGGGTGACTTCAAGCTTGAGGCCAGCCTGGGCTACATAGTGAGACCCTGTCTCAAAAAACCCCAAAAAAACAAAACAAAGGAGGCGGGGCCCTAGAGCCAAGGAATGAGGCAGTGTCTGGGAGCCCGAGAAAGTCAGGAAACAGGTTAGGCTGCCGACCCAAGGGAAACAGAACACAGCACCCGAGGGGAAGGGGAGGTGCCCACCGTTGATCATCTCAGGTGCCATCCAGTATGGGTTGCCCACCACGGTGTAGCGCTTCCTGCGGTCCGGCTTCTTGAGGCTCTGCAGGTCCTCTGGCTGGGTCTTCTCATCCACCATGAGACGGGCCAGCCCAAAGTCGGCCACCACCACGTTCTTGTTCTGCGCATTCCGATGAAGCCACGGCCCACTGAGCCCCAGGCCTGGCCCTGCCCGCTCCTCGCTGGGACACCCCCACCCCTGCCAGTCACAGTCCACCCGGAGAACACAGCTCTGACACTGAGGGACCCATGTGGGGACCATCCCCAAGCTCCTCTGCTCTTTGCAAATAGAGTTGCCCGAAGCTCGTGAAGACGCCAGCATGGCCACATCCCCCAGCACGTATGTACCTTTGTCCCTCCCCACCTGCTCTCCCAAACCATGCCTGTGTCCCTGCCACTCCATCCTCCAACCCCATCAGGACCCTGGTGCTGCCCAGCTTGAAAAGGAAGACAGAGATTCTGATTGGACACCCAGGTCCCAACCCCCCGTGTCACAGGCTTCATCTTTAATTCTCCTGCCACCCTGGGAAGGTGGCTGTGCTCGTCACAGATGAGGTGGCTCTGGCCCAGAAACATTAAGAAAGTTGTCCAAGGCCACCCAGCCCTATCAGCACCAAGGCTGGGATTCAAACACGGGCTTCAGAGTCCATGACCCTGCTGTTTTAGGTTTGAGGTCCTCCACTGCTCTGCCTGGAACCCTGCACAGAGCGCAGTGCCAATGGCTGGGTGCCCCAGCAGGACAGGAAACCAGGTGTGGGGGGTCATCCTGAAACACAGGGATAGAGGCCAAGCCCCTAGGCATCAGTGCCATGGCAGGGAGCTGGACAAGTTGTCCGTGGGTCCTGGACCCCACTTCCAGCCTTGGGTGGCCACTGTTGTGTAGGCACTGAGGCATGGCACCAGCCAGACGGGGCAAGGACCAGGCTCACCCTGAAGGAAAGGACCCTGACCTGCTTGTGGGAGTGATACAAGGAGGACAGTCATCTGGAGGAAATTACAAGCACCTCAGGTGTGTGTGGGGGTTTGAACATGAGTCCGGGTCTAGCTCCACTTGGCATCTCTGGGCTGTCACCTGAGGTGTAATGCCAGGTGGCAGGCAGGTCAGGTGTTTTGTTTTTTTTTTTTGAGATGGTTGGATGCTACATGGTTGAGGCCGACTTTAAACTTGAGATCCTCCTGCCTCAGTCTCCTGAGCATGGGAGTCTTTTTTTTTGTGTGGGACTGGAGTTTGAACTCAGGGCTTTGCACTTGCAAAGCAGGTGCTCCACCTCTTGAGTCACTCCTCCAGTCCATTTTTCTCTGGTTGTTTGGAGATGGGGTTTTGAGAGCTATTTGCTTGGGCTGGCCTTGAACCATGATCCACCTGATCTCAGCCTTCCAAGTAGCTGGGATTACAAATGTGAATCACTGGCACCTGGATCAGCAGAGACATTCTTATTGTGACCTGGACCCACCTGACTTATCCTCAGATCACAAGCAACTGGACCGCACTGTGACCAGGACTGTGTAATTATGCAAACCTGTCACCATGAATGTCATGCCTCTGGGCCATTGCACATGCTGTTCCCTCCACTGGGAACTCTTCCTGTACTGTTTACCTTGCAAACTCCTAACCTGGGGAAGGTCCTCCTCCAGGACTGGGTCTCAACCTGCCTGTGGTGTGGCACACAGCACCCCAACCCCCAAGTTCATGGCCACTTGCAAACTCAGGATGCAACCTTATTTTGGAGATACAGCCTTTGCAGACATGATTAGTTAAAGCCAGGTTATACTGGTCAGTATAACCTTCTGCCGTACGAAGAGGACACACAGACACACTCTGGGAAGAAGGCCAGGTGAAGAAGAGGCAGGATGAGAGTGATGTGGACACAAGCCAAGAAAAGCTAAGGATGGCAGAGGCCTCTGACAGCCAGGACTGAGATCCCAGGACAGCTTCTTCCCCAGAGTCAACAGAAGGAAGCAAGGCTGCCAACACTTGACTTTGGACTTCAGCCTTCCTGAACCCGAGAGGATAAAGCTCTGATGCTTTAACCCATCTACTTCCATCACACACATAGGTATGTATCCAGCTGCCGGCCTCCACTCTTGGCCTCCAACCTAACCACATGCCGAGGCCACTCTGCCCTCCGTGAATATCACAGTCCTGGTTTTCAGATGCCTGTCACTTTCTCTTCCACGGATTAATTAGCTCCTTCTAGGAACCCGAGCTTCTTGAGAGTGGATGTCACACAGTGAACGGCAGAGCTAAGACTGGAACATAGGCTGGTCTGTCTGTATGCCGGTCCCCTGCCCTCTGCCTGCCTCCCTGCAGGCTCCTGTTCCTCACTGACATTAAATCGGAGCTGGGGGCAGCCTGGTGACCTCCAGCTCAGGATGGGCCTGGAGGCCAGGAGGGTGGCGGTGCTGCCCCTGCCGTGGGGCTCCCTGCTTACCTCGCGGACCAGGCAATTGTGCGAGTTGAGGTCCCGGTGGATGACATTCATGGAGTGAAGGTAGGCCTGGAGGGGACGGGGCATGGTTCAGAGACACGGGGCTGAGACAATAGCCAGGGCTTGAAGCCCTGGAGGCTCCCTCTTCTCCTCTCCACCCCAGACAGGCCACTCTCCACTGGGTCCCTGCTGCCCCTGTTCTGAAGCTTCCTTGGGGAGCTGCAGGTGAGTGGCAGGGCTGCGATCACAGGGACAGTGGGTCACAGCCACTCACCATTCCTGAGGCGATGTCCTTTGCGAAGCTCACCCTCTGGCTCCAGGGGTACTGGCTGTCCTGGGGACCAGGGAGATGGACTAGCTTAGAGCTCTCGGGAACCACAGGGGGCAGGGGACGACAGGTGTGTGACAGTCCTAGAAGGCCAGGGGCCCTGCTCTGTCCTGCACACACAACTGCTTTTAGGGGTGTGGGTGAACAACTAAAGACATCAATTTTTTTTTTTTTTGGTTGTGCTGGGGTTTGAACTCAGTGTTTGGTACTTGCTAAGCAAGTATTCTACTGCTTGAGCCATGCGTCCACCCACACACTTTTTTTTTGGTGGGACTGGGGCTTGAACTCGGCTTCAGTCTGTAAAGCAGGTGCTGTTTGAGCCACACCTCCAGTCCATTTTGCTCTGGTTATTTTGGAGATGGGTTCAGAAGAACTATTTGCCTCGGGCTGGCCTTGAACTGTAATCCTCCAGATCACAGCCTTCCAAATAGCTGGGATTACAGGTGTGAGTCACTGGTAACTGGCTAGTTCCACTCCTTTTTGCTGTAGTTATTTTGAAGATAGGGTTTTGCTTTTCCTCGGCTGGCCTGGCTCATGACCCTCCTATTTTAAGATTCCACTATTGCTGGGGTGACAGGCATGCACCAGCACAACTACACCCAGCTTCTTCCCATTGACATCAGGAGCTCAATTGGACCTGGTTAGTACTTGGATGGAAGACATCAGGAGCTCATGATCTTTTCTGCTTGGGCTGGCCTGGAAACTCCATCCTCCTGACCTCACCCTTCCAAGTAGCTGGGATTACAGGTGTGGTCACCAGAGCCTGGCTTTTTTTTTGGTGGTGGTTGTTTTGGGGCTAGGGTCTCACAATGTAGCCCATGCTGGCCTGGATTTTTTTTTTTTTTGGTGGTGCTGGAGTTTGAACTCAGGTCTTCACACTTGGTAGGCATTGTGCTACCACTGGAGCCACTCCACCAGCCTTGTTTTTTTGTGTTGGGCATTTTTGAGATAGGGTTTCATGAACTCCCCGCCTCCTGATTTCTGCCTCCTCAGTAGCTGGGATTAGAGGAGTGACTCAACAGTGCCCAGTGGTGGCTTGGAACTCTTGCACCTGCTAGGCAAATGTTCTACCACTGAGTAACATCCCTGGCCTCAGCTTACTTTTTAAAAAGAAATTATGAAGCCATGCATAGTGGTGTAGGCCTATAATCCCAGCACTCAGGATGGTGAGGCGGGAAGATCAAGAGTTTGAGGCCAGCCTGAGCTACATAGCAAGACTATCTCAAACCAACCAGGAGCAAGGCATATTCAGCCCGATACACTTGGCAAACAAGCCTCAGCCCTGGCTCCATCCCAAGCACTCTGTAGTTTTAACTAAATCCTTAAAGAAAGGCATGGATTTTATGGAATGTGTTAAGTTTTTTTTCTTTTTTGTGGTGCTGGGGTGGCCTACACCTTGAGCCACTCCACCAGCCCTATTTTTTTGTGATGGGTTTTTTTGAGATAGAGTCTCGAGAACTATTTACTTGGGCTGGCTTTGAACCCTGATCCTCCTGATCTCTCCTGAGTAGTTGGGATTACAGGCGGGAGCCACCAGCACACGGCATGTATTGTGAAAATGATTTTATTTGGTAACTGGAACACCTGCCTCTCAGGTGTCCTGCCTGTGGCAGGGGTGGCTGGTTCCAGTGGCAACAAGGCAGGGCCGAGGCCCATAGGACGTCTAACCAGAAACAGCCCAAGTGTCCCCCGGGAGAAATCTGCCACCTTCTCTAAATCTGCCAGCTTTAGACAGAATCAGGAGTTCCCCTACTTGATCTGGAATCTGGGCTTGGAGGGTATTTGAGACCCCTGCAGCCAGTCCCCCTCAACAGGTGAGGAGCCCGAAGCCTGGAGGAAGCAGCCCTCCCGGGTTTGTGGGGATGGGGGAGGAGATGGGGGCTGCTCTGCCAGCACTCACCATGCTCTTGATGATGCCCCGCAGAGTGCCCCCCTTGATGTACTCAGTGATGAAGTTCAGCCTCTTGTCCTTGTACAGCACCCCGATGAACTTGAGCACGTTGGGGTGCTCCAGGCAGCGCATGACCTTCACCTGGGGATGCACACAGGCTGGGCCCGCACCCTTCCCCTCCCCCCTCCACCCAGCAGAGCTCACCAGGGCACTAAAGGCCCAGGCCCTGAGCCGACCCCCTCATGCCCTCCAGGGGGACACAGTCTCTACTCTCAGCATGTGCCGTGAGTGTCCCATTGTCCGGAACCCTGTGCCACCCCTCAGTGGAGAAGGGGTGGGGAACTACATGTCTGATCCTCAGGGACAGGACAGCCCCACAGACCTCCTTGAGGAAGGTCCTCTGGGTCTCCTCATCAAATCGGATCAGCTCCTTCATCACCATCACCTCGCCCGTCTCCCGGTGTGTCACCTGTGCAGGAGGCACAAAGAGTCAGGACAGAGCCCCGCTCCCTGCAGGAAGCCCCACATTCACCCTGGGACAGCCAGGGGGATAGGGGACATACAGATGGCTTCAGCTCTTCAGACATCTCAGGATGTTCAGACACCTGAAGGGCAGGTGTGTCCATCCCTCTACAGATGGAGAAACTGTGGCCCTGAGGTTTTCTAACAGGGCCCAAGGTGACCAAGCTGGCACAGAATCGAGCTGCTTGGACTTGGGTCTGGAATGGAATCCTAGCCAGTTCTGTGCTCTATTGAACTGTGTCCTCCTGGTGGTCCAATGGCCATGGCTCACGCAAGGACTCCCTGCCTGGCAGGGAAATGAGGGGGGCACTGGGCAGCTCTTTCTTTTAATCCTGGCCCTTCCAGCCTGTCACAGGCAGGGACATCAGACCCAGGGAAAGGCTTGTCTCCCTGCTCAGGCAGAGTGGGAAGGGGGTGAGCGGCTCTGAGGTCATGGTGGGTGGCACCACACTCAGCATGGGACTCAGAGGGCCAGTCTGGACTGTCCTGCTGCCCCACTCCTACCTCCAGACTCCTAACACATCCCCCCCCAACAATAGCTTGCTCGAGGAGGATGAGGGGAGACTGACCAGAGAGCTAGAAGCCAGAGACTCTCCCAGGTGGATTCCCAGGGGAAGGAGAGGACAGAGGGGTGCCCCCTAGCCCACGTACCTTAATGGCCTGGCCGAAGCAGCCCTTGCCCAGCACCTCCCCATGGATGAGGTCCGAGGGCCGGAAGATACGGTGTGGACGGCAGACCACGCGAAGGGACTCAGAGCGACCCAAGTCCTTGCGCTGGGAGGCTGGTGAGGCCAGCGAGCCGGCACCCGGGGACGTGTCAATGCTGCAGCTCCTCCTGGGAAGGCACACGGAGGTGGCACCTCTCCTGCCTTCTCCACCCAGCTACCCCAGTCCATGTGGCCCCGCTGTGCTGGGAGGTGGCACAGCTCAGGGCTGCGGTATGACCCTGGCCCCATCTGCACTCTGGGGCTAGCACCCAGCTTCCACCTACTTCTGCTCTGTCCTCCTTCAGACCATTGTTGCACAGGGGCCCTTGCGGGAATGTCGGTCCTGGGATTTCTCTGCCTGGTGGTCCAGGGACAGACGCTCTGCATGCTAGGTTTTGGGGGTGTAGCAGATGGGATGGTGCCCCCAACCCTGCACCCTGGTAGTTCTACAGGCGGGCTGAGTTCCAGGCAAATGCAAATGGGGGGATGTGCCTTTAGCAGCGCAATCTCTTAGATCAAGGCTGTCACCCAGGACGGCCTCTTCAGGAATCCTGAGCAGGTCCCAACAAAGTGTGGTGAAGACCAGGCTGCCTCTGGGCACTTTCCTTGTGCCCAGTCTCCCACCTCCCCAGGTTCAAGGATAAGGGGACCCTTGGCAACTGCTGTCTGGACCACTGCAGTAGCCCACTAGCTGTATCTGGTCTTGAGTGTCCTCATGTCCCTCCCATCCAGTGAACTGGTGTTTTGGTTTTTTTTTTTAACTACTGGGATTTGAATTCAGGCCTTGCACTTCCTAGGCAGGCACTCCACCACTTCAGCACCCCTCAGCCCTTTCTGCTTTGGTTTGTTTTCACATGGGGTCTCGAGCTTTTGCCTGGGACCAGCCTTGGACCTCCATCTTCCTACTTCTGCTTTCCATGTAGATGTGATTATAGGTGTGAACCACCATGCCTGGCCCACAAAGAGTGGTCTTTATGAAATATACCCTTTTGGGAAGCAGAGGCCCTGCCCACCCAGGACAAGGCCAAAACCCCTCTGCCTGGAGCCCACCATCCCCCATGCTCCTTTGATCTGAGCCAATTGCCAGTTGCTCCCTGAAGCCAGGATGCTGTTCCGCCCTGGACACCTCTGTAACTCCAGCTGAGGAGTTCTCCCTGCTCGTTCCTTCTCACTACTCTCCTTCTCTTGGGGTCCCTGCATCTCCATGCTGGGCTGGCTCCTCTTGAGCCTGAGTAAGTGGACAGTGGGGACCAGCACCAGGGACACTGAGCACAAAGGAAGTATGAGGCTGGCTTACAGGACAGGTCTCTGCTGGCCAGAGCTGCCAGCCTCCCCGCTGGAAGTGTGCACAGGGGAGACTAGGGGGCTGGGTTCGGACCCCGGCCCGTTGTTCAGCGTGTCATGGGGGTCATGCTCAAGAGTTAGCTGGAGCAGGCGGCTGGTTTCCTGGATGAGCAGGTCAATCTGGGGACAGGTATGAGGACAGGTGAGTCACTGTGTGGTGGCACCACATCCTCGTCCTCCCAGTCTGCCCAGCCTGGGAGCCGACCTCATCCAGGGGCACGTTTCGGATGGGCGTGCCATTGATTTCCAGGATCCGGTCTCCTACATGGATGGAGTTCTTCACATCTGGGCTCATGCAGCCTGGGTCCACTCTGTGGGTAGAGCAGCAATCAGACTGATTCCCGCGGGTCCCCAGGAGCCCCAACAGGAAACCCAAGCCAGGGGACCTGAACTGGGGAGAGCCTGTGTCTTGTGGGATTGGGAGGTAGCCGCCATCCAGGGCAGAGTTCTGGTTGGGAGTGATGAACTCGATAGTCCCTGCTGATGTCTGCCAGGGGCGTGACATGGGGAAAGCTGGTACAAGCACAGGTATCTGCCACTTGCATTGGATGCCCTGTTGCCCCCATTCGATAGCTCCCACCATGGAGCACAGAGTTGACTGCCTGTTCTAATAGGGTCCAGATCCTCCAGCTTCCTCCTCAACCCCAGATTCACCCTTCAAGGTCAACTCCAGCTCCCATTCTCCTTTTTTTTTTTGTGGTACTGAGGTTTGAACTTGGCCTCACTCTTGCTAGGCAGGAGCTCTACCACTTGAGCCACTCGGCCAGCCCTTTTTTGTAAAGGGTTTTTCCAAGATAAGGTCTCGTGAACTATTTCCCCAGGCTGGCTTTGAGCCACAATCCTTCTTGATCTCTCACTTCTGAGTTGCTGAGATTACAGGCGTGAGCCACCGGTGCCTGGCTCCATCCTCCTGAACTGGCAGCAGCAGCCACTCTATGCCAGGGTGGACACAGAGTGATGACCAAGATTATCCACCAATTTGCTGAATTCTCTTGCTTCTTTTAATTCTTTCATGTTAGCTGGTTTCTGGTTTTTATTTTGTCTCATAAAGACTTTCCACCTTCCTGCCTCTGTCTCCCAAGTGCTGGGATTACAGGCAGGTGCCCCAGTACCCGGCTCTCATAAAGGCTTTTTTAAGGAATGTTTTCTTTGTCTTGCTCCTAGGTCCTTGAGATGGGGAAGGGATGAAGATAAGGCAGAAAGGAGACTGAGGACTTTAAGAAAACAGATTTGTAAAATTTTTTTTTTGGCAGCACTGTGGTTTGAACTCAGGGCCTCACACTTGTTAGGCAGGTGTTCTTACAGCTTGAGCCACTCGGCCAGCCCTTTTTTGTGATGGGTTTTTCCAGATAGGGTCTCACCAGCACCCAGCTATAAAAATTCTTCATTGTCTTAACTTTTCTGTTAACTTTTTTTTTTTTGAGACAGGGTCTCACCTTGAACTCTGGGTCCTCCTGCCTTAGCCTCCCAAGTGCTGGGATTACAGGCTTGTGCTGCCATATACAGGAGGCTGAGGCAGAAAGAGCGCAAGGGTGAGGCCAGTGTGGGCCATGTAGCAAGACTCTTATCTCAAAAAAAAAAAAAAAACAAGAGCCAGGTGATTAAGGCATGAATGGCTCACATCTATAATCACAGCTACTCAGGAGGATCGCAGTTCGAAGCCAGCCAGGTAAGATAGTTCTGAAGACCCTATCTCGAAAACCCTTCTCTCTCTCTCTCTCTCTCTCTCTCACACACACACACACACACATACACACACACACACACACAAGGCATATGAGTTAGGCAGCTTTTCATCACTATAACAAAACACATAAGCTAGTTTATAAAGAGAAAAGGTTTATGTGGGCTCACAACTCTGCAGGCTGACTGCTGTGGGTCTCAGCCAGGCCCACTGGATGGCGATGACCAGGAGCATGTAGCAGAATAACCTGTTACCTCACAGTCAGGAGGCAAGAGGAGGCTGGGATCTCACAATCCCCTCCATGAGCACATCCCCAGTGACCTAACCCCCATCTCTTAAAGGTTCTACTACTCGCCACAGTGCCAAGCTGGGGACATTCAGCATCCAAACTATAGCAGTCATGTTTAGGCAAATAGGCAAGCTTTGATACTAGCAGACAAGAAAATGTAAAAGAGGTCTGAGCTATAAGGGGTACAGGGAGCCAGCCCAGATACTGTCACACTGTGTGACTCTTGAGCAGATCCTTCTGGGCTTTGGATCTGCCTTAGTCCGTTTTGTGTTGCTGTAACAACATACCCAAGGCAGTACGTTTTTATAAAGAAGGAGGGTAATACTTAGCTCCTGATTCTGGGGGCTCAAAAGTCACCGCGCATGGCACCAGCTGTGGTGGGGGCCTTCCTGACATCACAACATGTGAGAGAAGCAGGAAGGGACACAGTCATGCACAGAAGGAGCCACGCAACTGGACGCCGGTGGCTCACGCCCGAAACCCTAGCTACTTGAGAGGCTGAGATCAGGAGGATTATGGTTCAAGGCTGCCTGGGAAAATAGTTTATGACACCCCATCTCCAAAATAACGAGAGCAAAATGGACTGGAGGTGTGGCTTAAGCAGCAGAGGGCCTGCTTTGCTCAAGATTCTTCAGCTTCACCCATTCTCAGGGACCCCAGTCCTGACGTCTGCCACCCACCACATCCACGGCCACAGCCTCAGCAGGCCAGTCACTCACCCCTGGACGCGGACAGTGTGGGAGTGCTCTGTGCCGCAGCCGGGTGGGCCATGGGGGGGGTCGATGGAGACGGAGAGGCCTCGTTTGCCATGGGCAGAGGCGGGGATGGACACCAGCGTGACCGTGTGGGGCAGGTGGGAGCCAGGGGAGTCAGGCAGGATCTGCTCAATGACGGGGGTCACCACAGTCTGGTAGTAGCAGTGCCCGCTGCAAAGGCCACCAGGGTGGGGTCCAGAGAGGAGGAAAAGAGAGTCAGGCTGGTCGTGAGCATCACCCTCCCTGCATCCCTGGGCCAAGCCCTCCGTGCCTCCCGCTTCCCTTACTGCTCCCCGCTGATTAGGGGTGGGGGCGGAGCAGGAACTGAGTGTGCCCAGCCACTGGGGCCTCTCTGGGGCTCAGTCTGGGTTTGAGTGTTCCTGGGAATGCTGAACGATGGCCAAGACAGGGCCAGGGAGGTGTCCAGTGCAGGAGGAAGTCATTAAAAGCCCATCTGGAATGGAGTCGTGCTGTTCTGACTTGGCTTTATCGCCATTGTATACACTCTGTCTGGTCTTTGTCTCCGATCCTGGGAGACTCTGAGTCCTTGGAACAGGAGGATCTGGGTTATTTATGAGCCCCTCAGCTGGTGCTGGGTCTTTGCTAATAAAGTGAGTCAGACTGGGGCTGATCACCATGAAGAGTGACTGTGACGGGAGACTGGGGCTGTCAGCCAGCCTGGCCTCCTAGGAGGGGCAGAGCCTGACCTCACATGGCTAGTGATTCAACCTGTTACAAGCACATGTGAACGGCCCCCCCAAAAATCTCAAGAGTCTACACTGCTCCAGATGGTGAGCGCGGTGAGGCAGGGAGGGGAGGGTCCTCATTTGGCAAGTCCTGGGCTGTATCCTCTGTAATAAAACTGTGACCCTATGTGTAGCACTTGCAGGAGTTCTGTGAGTTATTTAGCAAACTGTTCAAATTTAACCGTTGTCCGTGAACCTGGAACCAGTTGGTAGAAGTGCGAGTGACTGGCCCGGGACCCCTGATCCTGCGGCTGGTGTCTGAAGCTGAGACACTCTTTCTGGGGACAGTGTCCTTAGCTTGTGGGGCCTGTGCCAGCTGCATGGTAGCATGTTAAGAAGACTGCTGTGTCTTATGTCTGGGTCACAGCTCTCTGTCATTTGTACACAGCGGAGGGAAAAGGAGGTACGGAAGGGTGGTGGTTGCCTCCCCGCCAAACTTTGCTGCACAGAAAGGCAAGGTGGGGTGTGGTGGAGCCAGTGCTTTTGCACACCTGTGACAGGCTCAGAGGGGGCCAAGGCACTCACCAGTACAGTTTGGAATGCTCCACCAGCGTGTAGGTGTCCCCGTCTCCGATGAAGGTCCCACACGTGAGGCAGATGAAGCACTCGGGATGGTACTTCAGCTCCCCGGCCACCTGGTGGAGGGGTGGGGGAACAACCCAGCTCAGCGGTGCCTTCAACCTCCATAGCTGCCTCCCGTAGGGATCCCTGAACACACTGGACAGAGCTGGCTGCACAGACAGGGGCTGAGGGACATGGCCAGCCAGGCTCAGAATGCATGGGGCAATCAGAGAAGCGGTGAGAGGAAGAACAAAGATGGGATGAGAGAGGCGTGGAGTAGCCGTTCCTGAGAGCACATGCGTGTGTGCAGAGCTGCACGCACACAAAACACACTCACGATGCACAGATGTACACACGTGTGTACACGCATGCATGCGTGTACCCCAAGGTGAGGCACGTGTGTGGGGCAGAGTGCTCACCATGACCAACCCCTTGGTGATGTGCTCTGAGCACCCGTGGCACGACTCGCCATAGCGGGCCCAGTAGTCCTTCTTGCAGAAGAGCTGTCCGTCCTTCTCGTAGTACTGGTGTGACAGGGAGGCACTGCATTCACAACACCTGGGTGGCAAGAGAGCAGGGCTGATGATGTCCACTCCCACCACACCGGGGCCCTGCCGGTCTTTGGGGACCTCTCTGAGAACTAGAGCATAAGCAGCCCGTGCTGGACACAAGATGTGACAGGTGAGGCCAGGGGCAGATCCAACCGCCTTTGGACTCCTTGTTGGTACACCTTACACATTGCGCAGCCTGCACAACCACCCTGAGCTGTTCTGCACAGAGGGTCTGGCCCATCTGCTAGCCCTGGGAGGGAGGAGTGCTTCTCATTTGAGCCCCTGATACCCAGAAATGCAGAAGGATGGTCCAGAAGGTAGGTGACTTGCTCTTGGTCACCAGCAAAGTGGCGGGAGGACCAACACCTGGCAGCCCAGGACACAGGGGTGGGAGTGGAGCAACCCCAGGACAGCACTCTAGGGCCATCAGCTTCTCTCCTCCCCCTCCCTGTAGCAGCTACAGCGGCCATACAGCTGACAGACCTACTGAGTACCAGCACCTTCCTGCTCAAGGGAACCACAAGGTGGGTGATCTCAGAGGGTCCACCCTGCCCCAGATCCCACATTTGGGTGTCACAGGCCCATGAAGCTTCTCTGTTTCTTTTTTTTTAGCCTTGAGCTTGAAGTTGGGCCTCATATTTGCTAGGTGAGTGTTCCACCACTTGAACCATACCTAACTTACTGTTTCACTAACATACAAGGTAGGTACTGGGTGCAGATGGCTCACACCTGTAACCTAGTTACTCATGAAGCAGAGATCAGGAGGAATGCAGTTTGGAGTTGCCCAGGCAGATACTTTGCAAGACCCTATCTTGAAAAACCCATCACAAAAAAGGGCTGGTCTAGTGGCTGAAGGTGTAGGCCCTGAGTTCAACCCAGTACTGCAAAAAACCAAAACCAAAACCAAAACCAAAACCAAGAGGTAGGGACTGGGCTCAGTATCGACTAGGCAGGATGGAGAGCCAGGATTCAGCCAGTCAAGACAGGGCAGAGAACAGGCCAGGGGATCTGCCAGGTCACCCAGGGACAGGAGCCAGGCTCTGCAGAGTAATGATCCTAAAGAGAGAAGGCTGGAAGGACCTGGGTCTGCATGACACTGCCCCTCCCCCCACTCGCTGAGGGACTCCCTCCACTGCACTGGTTGCTAGGGATGAGGCAGGGAAGGACAACAGCAAAGCAGCTAGTGGGACACTGTCCCTTTAAGAGAATGGAGCTGGTTCCTCATTGTCTAGGAGTCTAGTATGTATGGGGGTAGCAGGGGTGGGTGGCTAGGGCAATGGGAAACAAAAACCTCAGGGTTCAGAAGTACTGGGTGGGAAGCACCCAGGAAAGGGGCCTGATGGGCTCATTCTGGGGGAGTGTGGTGGTGGAGGAGGCAGGACAGCAATCATGACCTCATGCTTACTGCCTGAAGGCCTCAGCAACAGCCTAGGGCAGGCTCACAGTAGGCTGGGGCAGTGGGAGGAGTCTCAATGGGGGAGGTTGCACCGCACCATCCCTGGGGCGTAAACCTAAGGGAAGGTGCAGGAAAGGCAAGAACCCTGCACCCCTACAAAAAGGTAGAAGAGGTAGCTGGGTTCTTGCTCTTGTCCCACTCCATCAGTGACTCGCTTCCTGTCCTTCCACCGACCACACATGACTTAGGCCACAGAAGCATCACGGAACCTCCCTCAGTCCCCACTGGCAGGCTGTAGGAAGTGCTCCCCCCCACCCCCCACCTCTGTCATAGGAGCGTAGGAGCAGCTGTCTGTCCCTCGGGGAAGAAGATGCTCTTCTCCCGCCTGGAAACTCCTACTCTCCTCCTCTGCTGTCCGCTCACCACAAATACTCATCACTGCTGCTCACTCTCAGTGGGGACCAGAGAACTGTGAGTGCTCGCAGCTCCCCTGCTGGTCACCGGTCACCACTTCCTTGATGGCCCTCCCTGGCCCCTTGCAGCCCAGTCACCAGCCTTTGTTTGTCCTCCCCTCTGCCATGCACCTGTCAGCCCCCTTGGGCCCCAGGCTGGGCAGCCACAAAGCTTGTCCCAGAGAACAGCAGGCTCTTTGGGCTCAAAGCCTGGAACCCACCCCATCTGTACCCTCCCCTCCTGGATGCTCCTGGGTATCTCTGCCTCCATCCCAGATGGGCCTCGGTGAACTTTTGCAGGTAGAAGGTACACAGGAGCCCCCCATCCTGCCCCCCCCAGCCTACATTCAGCCAGGGGAGAGGAGAAGTGGAGAGGGAGGGCACCAAACTTGTCAACAGAGGCACACCAAGTATTGCCAGTGTATACAGCCATCTCAGGACCAAAACGTAGAACTCCAGAGGAGGCTTGCCTCCTGGTTTCTCTACAAGGCAGGGAAGTGGGAAGGGATCTAGGCTCTAGCCCTAGGCAGAGTGGTGAAGAGAGATCCAGGCTCTGATCCCAGACAGGGAGGTGAGGAGGAAGATTGGGGTCCCTAGGCAGTGAGTGGGGGGGCTGGGGTGGGAGAGTGGGGACAGAGCCAGGCTTAGGTAGGAGGAGAGGACAACGGCTGGGGAGGCGGCAGGGGATGGAGGATGGGTACTCTGTAGTCAGGGAGGCTGGGCTATGTCTGAAATGACAGGTGTGAGGTCCCTTCCTCCCAGGCCTGCTCCCCAGGCCCCATCCCTAGGCACCAGAAGAGGAGGAGCAGGTGGAAGAACAGCCTGGTGGGGAGGCCATACCAGATGGGCCAGAAGTTTTTGCAGTGGCTGCTCTCCCCTCAGCCGCTGACCTGACCAAGGAGTTTCAGTTCTGCCCCACAGCTGGCCCCAGGTGGGTCTGCCCCACTGTGGCCCCCAGCCCTAGTCTCACCCCTTAAGCCAGGGGCCTGGCACAGGTGGGGACGATTTCCACTTACTTAGCTCGGAGGAAGCGACTCCTTTTCAGGGCTGGGGCCAGCAGCATCCTTTACAGCTATGGCAGGGGCTCTGAGGCCTGTAGGAGCACAGGGGTGGCCTGACCCGAGCTTCCCCATCCTACTCCAGGGGCTCGGGATTGGAGAGTACAGAGGGTGGGGCCAGCATGACCACACCACATGGGAGGGTGCAGCCATGTGGCCTTGGTCTAAGCCTGCAACAGGAAGCAGCTGAAGTGCCTTCTGCTTGGGCTTTGGTGTAGAGAGGGAGGGATCCAGGTTCTGGCTACAGAAAAGGAGCTGTGACTAGGGAAGAGAGAACTAGGTTCTGACCCAGGCAGGAAGGTGGGGAGGGTGGGATCTAGGCTCTGGTTCCAGGCAGGGTAGTGGGATGGGATCTAGGCTCTGACTCTAGGCAGGGATATGGGGAGAGAGGAATCTAGGTTCTGGTCCTAGGCAGGGTGGTGGGGAGGAAGGGACCTAGGTTCTTGCCCTAGGCAGAATGGTGAGGAGGGAACCTAGGGTGTGATCCCAGTCAGGGAGGTGGGAAGAGAGAAATCCAGGTTCTGATCCTAGGCAGGGAGGTGAGGAGGAAGGGATCTAGGCTCTGACCCCAGGTAGGATTGTGATAAGGGATCTAGGCTCTGGCTCCAGGCAAAGAGGTGTGGAGAGTGATCTAGGCTGTGACACCAGAAAAGATGATGATGATGGATCTAGGCTCTGACCACGGGAAGGAAGACAGTATCTAGGCTTTGACACCAGGCAGGGAGGCAAGGAAGGAGGGATCCAGGCTCTGATCCCACCAGTCTGCCCTTTGTCCTGCATATCTGGAGAAAGGTGCCCTGCGTGCTCCTCAGCCTCTGCCTGGATAAAGGCACTGAGGACTTGGGCCTCTTTGGGGACAAGAACAAGCTCAGAACCAGCTGCCTCTTCTCTTCCTGTGTTGCCCCCAAGGGAGCAGAGGTCAACATCGCATGGACAGTGTGTCCTCCTTGCATGCAAAGTCCCCAGAAGAAGGGGAGGTTGCATCCCGGCTCAGCCTCCAGTGGCCAGCCAGTGGCACATTCTGCCTTCCTCCACCCAGGGCCAGCTCTGCCAGCCTCTGCTACAGGTGGCCCCAGGGCTTGTGCATAGTCAGCTCAGGGAAAGGAGCAGGCCCCAGGGTGATAATTAAACCCAGTGCTACTGCCAGATGCTGACTCTACCACCCCCCATAGGCTGTACCTGCTTCCTGGCTCAGCCTCCCCACATTCCTCTAGGCCACTGGTAATAGCACCTAAGGCTCTCTCTGTCCCACCAGCATGGGACTTTCTCAAGGACAGGGAACTAAGGACTGCAGCAGCACTCCAGGCCCCAGATCATGGGATCTGAGGGCTCTCCCACAGGCTCCCCCAACTCCCCCAAACATCTAGTGGCTGGGATGGCAGGTCGAGCACACTCCACCCCAGGCCCTTGAACGTGCCCCTCCCAGATCCATGAATGGTCCTGAGTTGTGGCAGCAGCCCCTGACATTGCATTTGTCTCTTCCTGGGCTTGCCAGATAGAAGGCAGGGCCCCTGTGTCTGGGAGGGGCAGGAAGGAGCCATGGGATGACACAGGCTGGACAGTCAGGCTGCAGGGGAGACTGCAGGCATAAGGCTGACCTCTGTGCCTGTTTCCTCATCTGTCCAGTCACTTCAACAAACAGCATCCTCTTCACAGGTCACCTGAGCGGTTCCATGATTGCTTGCTAAAAGCTGACACAGAGACCCTGGGAGGTTCCATCTGGAAGAGGGGTGGTACATCACAGGGCCACCTTTCCTACCTCAGGCCTGGACAGCCCTGACAGATCCCTCCTGCCTTAGCAGCTACAAGGGGGTTGGGGACAAAGGTGTCAGTGTTACCAAAGGGTTCATGTCACTAAGATACTTCCAAAGGGAGACAGAGCAAAGTCCAGGGTTTTAGGTGTCCTGCTGACAGCCAGCCTGGCCCAGGGCAGCAGTGACCTGTTTAAACCCTTTCCTAACTGCCAAGGGTGGGGACGCTGGTAGCATCACTCAGCCTTTGGGGGTTGCTGGGAGAACCACACACCACAGAGCAGGAACACTTGTGTAAGCCACAACCTGGGAGCCGGGGCCCTCACTGCCCATGGGCTCTCTCCACCTTCTCCTGTGGACCCCAGTGGGGCCTCCCTCCTCTGGTGACGCAGGGCAGGCTGCTCCAAAGCCAGGTACCATACAACCTGCCCCCTGCGTGCTTCTCTCCTGTGGCTGCACTTGGGCCTCCCCTATCTCCCATGGCTCCATCATCCCTCCTGACCCTGCCACAGGGATCCCAAAGGGCTTCCACTGCAAAGGTCTTCCCCATTTCGAGCCTCGAGTGCTAGCTCTGAGGAGGCCACTCTGACCTTCTGGCCACCATAGGACTCTGAAGTCATTTCTGGGCAGAGTGCCCACAACTCAACATAGACAGACAACACTCCATCAGAACCAGCAGACCACACCCTCCCCAGACCTGTCACTCAGCCCCCCAGAAAACCCTTGTCACTTCTACCCTGCAGACCACGGAATGAGAGAGACACAGACTTGACCCCAGCTCAAGCTAGTACAACCTTCTGCAAGAGGCATGCCTTTTTAAAATATTTTCCATGCTGGGGTTTGAACTCAAGACCCTACACCTTGAGCCACTTCACCAGCCCCCTTTCTTGTGATACGTTTTTTTGAGATAGGGTCTCTGGAACTATTTGCTGGGCAGATATGTTACCTCGTATGGCTATGGGAGGTTGTGGTGAACCAACATTCAAAGAGTGCTTAAGGGGCCAGTGGCATGGTGCAAATGGTTAGAGCGCCTGCCTAGCAAGCATGAGGCTGAGTTTAAACCCCAGTACCAGAAAAAAAAAAAAAAGAGTTTAAGTAGGAGGGGGAGGGGAAATATGGTGGATGTAGTTTGCATTGGTGGATGAAAATAAAGCAATGGAACCTGAAAAAAAGAAAAGCAACTTTTTTTCTGTTTTTTTTGGTGGTACTGGGTTTTGAACTCAGGGTCTCACGCTTGCTAGGCAGGCGCTCTTACTGCTTGAGCCACTCTGCTAGTCCATAAGCCAGACTTCTTTTTTTTTTCTCGGAACTAGGGTTTGAACTTAGGACATCATGCTTGCTAGGCAAGTCCTCTACCATTTGAGCTGCTCTGCCAGCCCTGACTGGGCTCTGAACTCAGGGCTTTGTGCTTCCAAAGCAGGCGCTCTACTGCTCAAGACACTCCTCCAGTCCACTTTACTCTGGTGATTTTGAGACAGGGTCTCCAGAGCTATTTCCCTCCCTTTCGCAGTCTCCCCAGCAGCAGGGATTACAGGCATGAGTCACAGGTGCATGGTCAGCAACTTTAAAGCTTTTATGCATTGACATATTTTACCTTTCTCTCTGAATAGTTTTAAATATTCTTTTTCAATTAAACAATTTTCAGTAGTAACATTAAGATTTTTAATTTACAGATTAAAAAGAGTGCTTCACAAATAGTAGTTCATGTGATAAAGGTTGAGTATCCCTTATCTGAAATGCTTGGGACCAGAAGTGTTTCAGATTTCAGACGTTTTTGGATTTTGATATATGTGTACATGCATAATGAGATATCTGAGGGATGAGACCCAAACCTGAACACGAAATTCATCAGTCTTTCACATGCACCTTATCCACATAGCCTGAAGGTAATTTTATGCAATACTATTAGTGTGTCTGTGTGCCTCGATCCTCCCGATCTCTGCCTCCTGAGTAGCTAGGATTACAGGTGTGATCCACCGTGCCCAGCTGTACCTCTGTTTTGACTGACCTGTCATATGAAGTCAGTTGTGGAACTTTCCATTCGTAGCATCATGCTGGAGCTCAAGTTTTGGATTCTGGAGCATCTTGGATAAGGTATGCGCACTTGCCAAATACTGGCCCTTCTGTATCAGAAATCCTCAGTCAGGCTCATGAGCTCAGACCCTTAACTATGGTGACAGTCCCTTTGCTCCAAGTTGTCACGATTGGCCTGCTGGGATGGCATTCTTCTACAGCATGCCTCAGCTGCGTGCTGGCTCCCTGTCACCGTCAGAAAGTCCTTATCTTGGCATTCAGTGCCTTTCCCAAGTTGACTTCAACTCTGTCTCATCTGGATCCTTGACTCATCCGGTTTCCACCAACATGCTGTGCCCATTCTCTCAGTGGCCTGAACTGTCCTGCCTCCCTCTCAAAAGCCCCACGAGCTCCCAAAGACCTCCTCCTTCCCACCCCAGGGCATGTTCCCTTTTTTTTTTTTTTTGTAGTACTAGGGCTTGAACTCAGGGGTTACACCTTCAGCCACTCCACCAGCCCTTTTATGTGATTTTTTTTTCAAGACAGGGTCTCACGAACTATGTGCCCAGGATGGCTTTGAACCGTGACCCTCCTGATCTCTGCCTCCTGAGTAGCCAGGATTACAGACGTGAGCCACTGGCACCTGGCTAAAAATTGATATATATATATGTATTTTTTTTCTGGTGGTACTGGGGTTTGAACTCAGGGCCTCACGCTTGCTAGGCAGGCACTCCACCAGCTGCCTGCCTTTCTTCTGGCCTCACCAGCCACAGCAGGCACAGTGCATTTGTGTCACTCACTGGACATCAGTATGCCGAGTGCCAGGTCCTCTGCCTGGAGCTCCTTCCCAGAAAGCTCCACTCAAGAGGCTCACATCCTCTGCCGGTCCAGCTCTGTCCCCACAGCTGCCTCCCACTACTTCCTATACCTGGCTTCTCAGGATGCCCCTGAGGGGTCACTGGGCCACCTCCAGGTCTCCACATGCTTTTCTTTGTCCTCAGCCACAGCTCTGCCCCCACTGTCCCTGTGTTTATCACTGGGCTATGCATCTTTGCAACCATATGGGGTCCAGGGACAGTGGCCTTGTTTGTCTTTTCTCCCCTGGAGCAAGCACACTCGGAGAGACCGGGGCACACTGCTCTCTACCTCCTCCCCTCTGTGGGTGCCAGGAGGCCTTGGTAACACAGTCCTTCCACACCACCCCACCCGTGGGTTCTGTATCACTGAGTCAACCAGCCTCAGACTGGAAATATTCAGGGGGGAAAATTGCATCTATCCTGAATATATACAGGTGATTTTTTCTTGTCATTGTTTCCTAAATAATTCAGTATAATCACTCTTGATGTAGAATTTACATTGTGCTAGGTATTACAAGTAATAAGACAGCCCTTAAAGTACACTGGAGAAGCTGGGGCATAGTGGTGCACACCTGTAGTCCCGGCTACTTGGGAAACGGACGCAGAATTGCTTGAGCCCAGGAGTTCAAGGCCAGAACACATTGAGATTCCATCTCAAGAAAGACACACACACACACATATTGGAGGCTGTGCACAGGTTTTGCAAACACTGTGTCATTTTCTATAAGGGACTTGTATCTGGGGCACCTGGAGGACACCTGTGCTTTCTGGAATTCGAGTCTCTCCCACCCTCTCCTTAGAGATCCCAAATAACAAAACAGGAAGGTCTTCAGGGACTGTTCTGGTCAGAAGGTCTTGTTTACAGAAGGGGAAACTGAGGCCAAGGACTCATGGGAGGTAACCACCTCCAGGACAGCACCAGGAGGAATGTCTGGGTCTCTGGCAGGCCCTGGGCACCTGGCCCTGCCTGTCCGGCTTACCTGAAGCAGTCTGCATGCCAGTCAGCACTCAGGGCCTGGAGGTATTGGCCATCATAAATCCTCTGGCCACAGCTTGCACACACGGGCAACTCGCTTCCTGCAGAGAGAAGGGGGGTCAGGAGCCATTCTCAAGGGGCTCACAGTGGTGCAGGCCCAGCCTGTCCTGCTGATCCCACAGGGACTGAGTGCACACCTGTGCAACCCCAGGCTTCGTGGTCACTGTGCCAATCAAGGGAAGAAAGGAGATTGCTCCCTTCTTAGCCAGTGACCTGCTTGGACACTGGCCAAGCACCAAGCCTCTCTGGGCCTCAGTATCCCCATCTGAAACCTGAGGAGGAAGATCTGATGTCCATCCCCTAGCAATAGCATCCTTCAACGCAGGGTCTGGCAAGGAAACCAGGGAGAAAGAGCAGAGGCATTTTGAAAAGGGGCAGAGGGTGACATTCTCGTCCCAGCCTCCTTTCCTCCCCGTATGCCCAGGAGAAAGTGCTAAGAGTCCTTCGAAGGGCAGGAACTGGCATGGGCAGGGGTAGGAAGCCCAAAGGTACTATTGAACTTTGGCTAGGTCCTGACTTGATGAGAGGCAGAAGTGGCAGAGCTAGCACTCTGATACCTCTTGAAGCCGGAACTAAGCATGCTTAGTCATTCCTGGGGCCTGGCACTCTTGGAACTGGTGGGCTCTGCAAGATGCCCTAGGCCTGCCCCTCCCCATTGTACAGTAGGGGAGACTGAGCCCAGAGAGGTCAAGCTTGCTCTGTTACATAGCGAAGCTCCAAAGCCATGGCCTGATTCTCCATCAGTACTCAAGGATCTAAGGTAGATGCCAACGTGAGGTGAGCCTGTGCACCAAACCATGCTCACGGGCCTAGGGACAGGCTGGTGGAAGCCCCTAGAGAGATCAGGCCCACGACCTGTCATGGGACCAAGTGGGCCTGGAAAAGGAAGAGGAGACTCCCATACTCTGTCCAAGGCTGGGGTAGTCTCTGAACCTTAATGTAATGCAACCTTAAGCCCTGGACCCCAGAAATGGGGGAGAGGGTAAAGAGGAGGTCAGGACAGGAGCCCTAGCCAAGACTGATGGCAAGCACCCGATTTGTTGTAGAGAGAGGGGGAGGGGTCCTGTAGTCTAACCTTCACCCGTTCTCTGGCCGCATTATCCCTGATCTGCTCGTCCACCCCCCAAAAAAAAAACCAGTACGTGGGAGGAGGGGGGAGCGCAACTACCCGGTCCCCAACTGTACAAATGGGGAAACTGAGGCTTAGTGTGTTAGCACCAGGCTCAAGGTCAAAGAGCCCAGCAAACGCGGGGCGGCGACTCGGACCCAGGACTGCGGCTTCCCCAGCTGTTCTTTTCTCCTCAGCCCGGGTTGGACACTGGATAAAGGGGTGGCCCCCAGGGCGGGTAAGGCCGGATGGACAGAGCAGCGGACGGAGGCCGGGATGGACGGGCAGTGCCTGGGATTCCTACGGGGCGGCCAAGAGGATGGGGGGGTTACAAGAAGGGGATGAAAGGGAAAATGGGGATTTCCCCCGCCCGCGGGAGCGCAGCACTGGGGCCGAGGGGGACACCCGGTGGGAGGGGCCTGCTGGCTTCGGAAGGACGAGCTCATCCCCAGGAGGCAGGGGCGCGGCCTCGCAGCAGACCCGGCCTCCACAACGGCCCGGCCCGGCCCCCTCCCGTGTCCACTGCTCCCGGGGACCCCGGGGCCCCGCTCCGCCCTCCCAGCCCTCACCCTGCGCCCCGCGCACCTTCCTCTCCCATACGTTCTTCCCTCCAGGTGCAACAAAGTAGCGTCAACCTCATGCACTCGGCGGGGGGCGGGGCCCGGCGGGGCGGGGGCTAGGGGGGCGGCCGGGCCCGCAAGCTCGCCCGCCACCGCCGCCGGTCCGAGGAGGCGGAGGCGGGGAGTGCGGGCCGAGCCGAGCTGAGCGCTCAGGGCTCGTGGAGCCTCCGCCTCTCAGACACGGCTAAGGTACCGGCTTGGTATCTCGGCGACCCGGGGAGCGCACGGAGAGGCGGGCCGAGGCGGGGCCTACGAGCTGCGGCAGGGGCGGAGCTGGCGCGGCGCGGCGCTGGAACTGCCCTGCGCGGCTCCGCCCCCCGCCCCTCGGCGGACGCCCCGCCCTCTGCGGCCCGGCTGCAGCACTTGAGTCTGCGCGCTCTGTCTCGCCCCGCCCCCTGGACGGATAGGCCACGCCCAATAGCCACGCCCCTCACCGAATCGCTCCGCCCCTCCCCGCGCAAGCCGCCCCGCCTTTTCTTCCTTTCATTCATCTTTTCCTTGTGGGTGACAACTCCCTGCTGGGCGCGGCCAGGCTGTGGGTTGGATGGAGTGGACTAGGCGGGTGTGGATGCTCAGAGAGAGCGCCTTCCTCCTCTGATCCAAGTCACCTGGAACTTAACCCAGACTAGACATGATGGACCCAGAGGAAGCTGGTGGTCACCTTGGAGAGGGTCGCCAGCTGGGACTTCTCCCTCTTCCCGAGTTCTGCAGTTTCAGGCCTTCCCAGGCTGCACAGGGGCATTAATGCATGAATGCATTTTTAACGCACAGGAACCTGGGAGAGAAATTGAACCGGTGCCAGGCTGCCGCAGATGTTTTCAGTGTCATCCTGATCTGCTGCTGGCAACCAGGGTCCAGGAGGAGGCACAGCTGAAGTGGGTTTTTGGCTGAGTCAAGTGACCAAAGGCTGTTCAGTCCATTACCGGAAGAGTGGAGCACCTGCATAGAAGTGGATGATTCTAGAATGCTGGATCCCATCTCCCTAGATCCACCCTCCTACTTCATCTCACTGCCTGGGAAGCTGTTATAACAGGTGCTTAGAAACTGCGTTTGCTAAAACCACTGACTCCTTACTTGGGCCCAATGAGTTAACTGAAAGCAAGAGAAAAACTTGACATTTTTGTCTCCATTTTGCATCTGTCTCTCTCTCTCCCCCACAATCACCTTGGGTTCCAGGAAGGACAGGACTGATGGATAACATCTTTCCTCAAGGAAAGGATCAGCAGAGTTCTGAAGCACAGACTTCCTTTGCACAAAAAGAGGAGGCTGCACCCTGGAGCAGGAGGAATCATCTCACAGGGACCAGATGGCTCCCTCAAGTGACGACAGTGATACCACTTCCCGAACCCTTCACAGAACCAGAACTGGGACCACACTGTGACCAGGACTGCGTAATTCTGCAGCCTCCCTTCCCTGCCCAATTCTCCTCTGTGGAAACCTAAAGCTCGCGTCTGCACCCCGAAGATGGGCTGAAGTCCTTTCTCTGCCCTTCGCCACTGCTTGTGTCTTTAGTGGATGTACTGGGGCAAGGGTTTGGACCTGACATGTGGAACCCCTGAAGCCAGGCCTCTAGCCACAGTGAATGGAGTTGAGCCAAGTTCACCTAGTGTGCTTGAGACAGCTAGCCCAGAGTCTAGCCCCAGCAATTGTGTTTGTGCAGACAGCTCTAGGCAGACCGTGGGCCAGAGGCCTGCAGGAGGCACTCAACCCTGGAGAGGGAAAGAAAATGCTGGATTTTTTTGTGTGTACTGGGATTTGAACTTGGGGCCTTCGCCTTGAGCCACTCCACCAGCCCTTTTTGTGATGGGTTTTTTTAAGCGAGGGTCTCAAGAACTATTTGCCCAGGCTGGCTTTGAACCATGATCCTCCTGATCTCTGCCTCCTGAGTAGCTGAGAATTCAGGTGTGAGCCACCAGCACCCAACTGACTTGTTTGTTGTTGTCTTATGTGGTGTGTGTCAGGCCCTCATAGGAAACACAAGTCTCACTTGCTGGGATGTTTATTTTACTTATTTATTTTAGAGACAGGGTCTTGCTATGTTGCCCAGACTAGTTTTGAACTTCTGACTTTAGGGACCCTCCTGCCTCAGTTTATCAAGTGGCTGGGACTCCAGGTGTGCCCAGAGCCCTGCAAGACTTTAATAAAGAAAATGTACCCAGGCACATTCTTGGGGACACTGCCTCAGGGGTGCACACAAGGTCATTGCTAAGGACAGGGGCCAACCCTGAGCTGTCCTAGCCTAGGGACACACAGAGACAGGCATCCCTGCTAACAGACCAGGCTGCCCTCCTTGCCTACCTTGGGTGGCCTCGCCCAGGCAGATAGGTTGGTGACTGTTTTGATCTCCTCTTCATTTGCAGTCACAAGAGTGACACCTTACACCTAGCACATCCTGCTTCAGAGTGCTAATTTGTGTCTAGCTCGGTTCCTGCCTCAGAGTTGCTCATGTCAGCCAGTGACCCCATCCCCAGCCACAATTTTAAACTTGTGGGCATCCTTGACTCTTGTGCTCCTCCTCCCCCCCAAGTCTGATCTGCCAGCAAGTTGTGTTGGCCCTGTGTACAAAATACACCCAGAATCCCACCCTTTACCTGCTACCTGGTCTAGCTGGCTGTTTAGGGCAACAGGGTTCTGAGTTCCTCCTCCCCATTAACTCTCAGAGCCTCTGAGCATGGGTCAAAGTGTGGGTCAGACAGTGAATCTCTTTGTTTTCTTTTTTTTTTTTTGGTGGGACTGGGGTTTGAACTCAGGACTTCAGGCTTACAAAGCAGGTGCTCTACTGCTTGAGCCACACCTCCCGTCCATTTTGCTCTGGTTATTTTGGAAATGGGGTCTTGAGAACTATTTGCCCAGGCTGGCCTCGAATTGTGGACTCCCAATCTCAGTCTCCCAAATACATAGGATTACAGTCGTGAGCCACCAGCAAAGTGTGACACTTCCTTCCTCCCTTCCCCTCTCCCTCCCTCCCTCCCCCTCTCCCTCTTCCTCTCCTCCTTTTCCTCCTCGTCCTTCTTCTCTCTCTCTCTCTCTCTCTCTCTCTGTCTCTCCCTCTCCCTCTTCAGACAGGGTCTCACTATGTGCTGGCATTGAACTCATGATCTCCTGCCTGAATCTCTTCCTGTGTGCTGGGATTACAGGCTTACACTACCACGCCTGGCTGACCTTAGCTCTTCCAGCTGCTTCTTTTTTTAATTTAGGAAAAGAAAAGAAATCCAACCAAACAAAGGAACAAAGCCAAATACCCTCAAAACAAACAAAAACATATAGCACAAAACTTCCCATCCTAACCATCTTATGTATACACTTCAGGAGTGTTAAGTACTTTCACCTCATTTTGAAACTCATCCCCAGAAACTTTTTTTGTCTTTTGTTGTTGTTGTTGTAATACTGGAATTTGAACTCAGGGGCTACACCTTGAGCCACTCCACCAGCCCTTTTTGTGATGAGGTTTATTTTTCGAGACAGGGTCTTGCAAACATCTCTCCCAGGCTGGCTTTGAACTGCGATCCTCCTGCTCTCTGCCTCCTGAGTAGCTGGGATTACAGACGTGAGCCACCATGCCTGGCTTCCCAGAAACTTTTTATCTTGCAAATCTGAAGTTGACTCCTTATACAACTCCCCAATCCCTGCTTCCCCATCTGATGGTAAACATCATTCTACTTCCTGTCTCTATGACTCTGATTACTGCAGAGACCTCATTTATTTTATTTATTTATTTTTTTAACAGAAAGCCTTTTATTTTTCTTTTTGGTGGGACTGGGGTTTGAACTCAGGGTTTCACACTCACAAAGCAGGCACTGTATGGCTTGAGCCACACCTCCACCCCAGAGACCTCATTTATGTGGAATCGTGCAGCATTTGGCTTTTTTTATGTGACTGGTTTACCTCATTTAGCGTAATGTTCTCAAGATTCATTTGACCCTTGGCATGTGACATTATTTCCTTCCTTTTTTAGGGCTGACTAATACTCCACCATGTATACATACATATATAATACTATGTAAGATACATAGAACAAGAACATGCCTCCAGTGATCCAGTTCCTCCAACCAGACCCCATTTCTACAGTCCCACCACCTCCCAATAAACTGTTCGGATTTTAAATCCATCAGTGGATTAAGCCATTGATCAAGTCAGAGTCCTCATGATCTGATTGTGTCTGTGCTCCCAGACACCCCCAGAAGTGTGCTTTACAAGTCTCTTAGCTGTCTCTCAATCCAGTCAAGTTGATGGTCAAGATTGACCAGCACAAGAAGCTTTGGGGGTTTCACAATGGGCTTTTATGAGGTGGAGGCAAAGTGTTTTCATCACGAGAGAGTTGAGTCTTGTCGAATTCTTTTTCAGTTGAGATAATGTGTGGTTTTGTCTTTCTGTCAGTGTGGCATATTTCAGTGATTGATTTTCCTGTGTTGAACCATCCTTGTCTTTCAGGGATAAATTCCACTTAACTTATGATGAATAATCTTTTTAATATGCTATCAAATCTGGCATGCTAGTTTTTGGTTTTTGTTTTTTTTTTACACTACTGGGGTTTGAACTCAGGGCCCTCTACCACTTGAGCCACACCTCCAGTCCATTTTGCTCTGGGTATCTTGGAGATGGGGTCTTGCTTTTTGCCCAGGCTGGCCTGGATGGTGATCCTCATATTTTAAGCTTCCTGCTGTAGCTGGATGAAAGGCGCACACTGCTACACCAGCTTTTTTCCACTGAGATGGGGTCTTGCAAACATTTTTGCATGGGCTGTCCTCAACCACAATCCTCCGGATCTCAGCCTCTCATGTAGTTTGGGATGAACAGTGTGAGCCACCTTGCTCAGCTGTTGGTTTGATATGGAACTTTTCACTTGGGCTGGCTTCAAACCTCAATCCTCCTAATTTCAACCTCCCAAGTAACTAGAATTACAGGGGTGAGCCACCAGCACTTGGCTCTGGCTTTTTTTTATTTTAAATTTTTATTAGGCTATATGTGTTATACAGGGGGCATTCGTAGTGACAATTCAATTAGATTTATATCATACACTAGTTACATCATCCCCATTGTCTCTCCCTTAACTCCTTCCCCACTCCACTTAAAGCAATTGCAAAGGGTAATTTAGTTCTGTTTCAATAAGTATATGAAGTCCATCTGCCATATACCGTCACCTTATCTCCTTCCTTCACCCTCCCTTTGGCTCTGGCTTGCTGCTGGTTTGTTAATGATTTTGTGTGTGTGTGTATATGTGACTGGGATTCGAACTCGGGCCTCACAGTTA